CGGTTCGCAAATTCACCAATTAGAGGAAACTCGATCCTTAGCCATTTGCAGTGAAAAAAAAAAAATCTAATCGCAGAAACTGCACATTTTTTGGGGCTCTTTGTGCAGAACGGAACGCCACCGAGATGTTGGCAAAGCCCCCGGCTTAGCGGAAAGTAGTAATCTATGTCAAGGAAGTACAGCCAAATTGTTGTTAACGCCACAAAAGGTACTCAAAAACACTCTGGGCAACAAAAGCGTCATTTATTTTTGTAGTTTTGGATTCTCTGATCATGTCCCTCCCGCTTTCCAAACATCCCCTCTCACAGTTCAGGTTTCCCTTGCCGTCGTCATTCCAGCTGTCTCCAGTCTGCGTTTATCCAGTCGGGCCTCGTCTCCACTACCCATGCGGTCCCCGCAGACTCTGACCTCAGCTCTCCTGGCGGGCGTGATTAGACGCTATGCGGGGGGTTTATGACTTTATGGGCGGGGTGGGGGGGGTCTCGTCTCATCGCACATCAAGATGCTGGAATAACAAGTCATTGGGAATGACCCACCAGTGCTGGTAGAAGAGCTGTTCTACTTTCGTGCACATGTTGCAAGGTGAGAGGAAGCTCCCGCTTGACTTTTGCCCGAGGGAGTGCGGATCGGAAATGGAAGGGGTTATCTGTGGGAATGTGGGGGAATCCCAGACATGGCTTTTAGGAAACAGGAAGGGCGTCCTCAAGCCTTGCAGGTGGGACGAATGAAATGACCGACATGAGAGAGGTTTGCTCGATTTGGTTCAAAACGGAAATTCTGGCTAAAATCGGGGCCACTTTTCTCTCGTCGTGTGAGAACGCCACTCCGCCTATTAAATCGAGACAACAAGGCGTCTTCCGTCTCCAGCAGGTGTAGCGGTGCTTCCTTTTGGAAATTCCCCAACACGCCCAGAGGTGAACACTGCATCATTCATGTATGGTTTTATTCCACTCTTTCCTGCAAGGCTTTGCCTGAATCTTTTGAAGCTCACGGAATATATGTCTGAACATGGTTTGCGTGACTTTAGAGGCATGTTTTCCCTCATTCAAACTCCGAATTCTATGACAGATAATGCTCTGTTAACTCATTCAGTACCAGCCGATTCGGGACCAAGTCTGAAAAGACGTTTAAAAACGTCTTTGGGAGTGAATGAGTTAAATAACCGGCTTCCCAACTAATTTTTAATCGGTAGGGCCCGAGCAGGCTGGTGTCAAGGCCCTTTTTGAAATTGCTTTGTTTCTCTGTCGTTATTACTCCGAGTCGAAATAAATCATGGAACTTGGGGAAAATTTAGCCTCCCGAAGCCAGTGGCACAGAGTACATTTGTCAGGCGTGTCTATCATGTGTAGACGCCCCCAGAAAAGTACATTTCAAGTTGCTTTGAAGCGGCGATTTTATTGTCATGTTGGCCCCTTCGAGGGGTCTTTCCAATACGAACCCGATTTTTATCCTGTGATATTTGAACCGAGTACACTAAGTTTTTCATCAGCGAGTGTGGCGGAAGCACGGCAACAATGTGTGGTGACTAATTAATTAAAATAAAAATAAAAAATAAAAAATTTGGACATGTCTACCAAGATTAGACCCACTAAAGAGTGTCTCGAAGCCATGCCCGAAAAACCGATACGGTAATCACCCAAAAATGGATGCTTCAAAGCAAAATGGCAATTGCCATTTCAAGCAATCTTGCCCTTGAGATTTTGAATCAAATTTGAACCGTGCATACGAGACAGACAGAGAAGACCGCACCACCAAGAGCTTCATCGGCGCCCCCTACCGCAACAACATTCCTTCTTAAAGCCGCCCGCCGCTTTAATTAAAGCTCGTGATCATAATCACGCAGAGACAACATTTGCAACACTTAACCAAACCTAACTGTCAATTTGCTAACGACACCGTTAAAGCGTCAGTCCTCCCTAAGTCCTTCCGGAAAGCTTCAATGTGATGTTCGTCCTTGCTCTTATGAGGCCGCTGCGCCCGCTCATCTCCATCTTGGCTCCAGCGGCGCCCATAACGGGCGACGCGTGCACGCTAGGAGTCAATGAGTAATAGAGTAATGAAACGGAGCACATCCGTGTCAAGTGGCTCTCCTCAAACGGACAGACCGACTGTTATTATCTGCTCCGAGATCCCGAGGCGAGAGACGCCAATTACACAGCACGCAATCCTCCAAACCAGTGGCCAGGAAAGAAAACTGACCGCGAGTGTGTGAAATTGACACAAAAACAATCCCAGCCTTATGTCAAATCAAACGGGAACACGCTCGCCATTTCACACAGTGTAGGCAGTGTTATTTGGCGCGCTTTGCCGCGGGCAAGTGTTAAGATGTGGCGTCTACGCATTGCCGCCGTTTGGGATCCGAGCCAAAACCATCTGGAGAAATGAATTTACAAAAAGTCACGCTTTCTCAGCTTTTGAGCGAGTTGTTGTTTTCATCATTTAAAACCGGCCGTGGCGTAACCCCGCCCTCTGTCAAAGTCACCTGGGAGATTCAAGCTCGCCATCAGCCTGAAGGATGGAAAGTGATCCAGAAGGTGGATTGGAAAGATGATTGAACAAAACTGTGGTTTGTCGATTGCGCAACTCCATTTTGACCGCTCAGTGTAAATTTGGACAAGCTGCCGCGACGTTACGACCGTGTAAATTCCGCATTTCTCTCTCCCATAGATCACGATCATTCCGAAGTCCAGTCTTTCATTCAAAAAAACCTCCATGCAACCTTTAAGTCTTTGAACCCCAACACCCACTGATTCGTCACAGCCGTCATGACCCCCCCC